TTTAAGAAACAACACTATTAAGCAAACAAAATTTTGTAAATTACAATAAGCCCTTGATTAATATTATTGCTATCTACGCAATTCTATAACTTAGACCTTTTAAACTGGCTGGACTTCATTAATGCAGTAAGTTTCTTAACAGCAGATATTGCCTCGAGCAATAATGGAACAAAATAAGAAAGCCACTCTGACACCTAGTTTAGAGATATCGAGTCACCTTATGGGCTGGTCTCAGAAGGGGATAATTTCACAAGCGTTTCATGTATATGGAGATGGCTCCTGTGCCAATGTGCAGCCAAACTGCGAGGCGCTCTGCTAGGAGCCCCCCCAGGAGAAAAATGCAGCCAATGCTTTCTTCCGTGTCTGCTGCATTAGATTTCTTTCACTGTCATTTTTGGCATCAACAATACTATGTCAATGTCTTATCTCAGTTCATACTTACCAATTTGCAATTGCTCCAGAAAAGTACAGGAAAAAAGGTTTCCCTACGCCCGGCCGGGGGTGGCTCAGCGGTTGAGCGTCGACCTAGGATCCAGGTGATCGGGGTTCGATTCCCGGTCAGGGCACATGCCTGGGTTCCGGGCTCGATCCCCAGTCGGGGGTGTGCAGGAGGCAGCCGATCAATGACTCTCTCATCACTGATGTTTCTCTCTCTCTCCCCCCTCCCTTCCTCTCTCTGAAATTCAATAAAGATATATTTTTTAAAAATAAAAAGGTTTCCCTACTATATTCTGCTAATAACAAAGTTACAGAAGCTTTGATGCTACACAATATCAATAATTATCTTTAAGTCTTTTTTCCCCTTTCCTGGAAGATATTTTCTGAAGAACAACTTTAAAAAAAGTATAAATCAAATGAGATTGTATCTGAATAGAAACTAAGAACTGATTCAGCAATACCAGCTTCAGAAAAGGACTGACTTTAAAAGTACAGGCTATAACTTTTGAAAACAAATACCCTTCATTAATAGTTTAGTGGTTGCAAAGCACTCCTCTACACACATAATCTTGTAATACTTAAAACCACATGGTGAGGTAAGAAGGCAGATATTATCATATATATTCCTAGATGAGTATACCGAAGCTCAGGTGATGATAACAATCTGCCCAGCGTGTTTACAATAATAATGTTCTTTTCAAAGAAACCCTTTACATCAAAATACAGCCAAACACCAACAGATAATACAGTGACATTTACACAAAATTATTATCAAAATAATACTGAAACCTCTAAAGGAGTAAGTTAAGACCGGTGGAAGAAAAAATGCCGAATTTGGTTTCCCCTAATGTTTCAACTAATGCTTTCAAGAGTGCAGTTAAACTCTGTCATCACAAGTCCTCTCTTGGGGAACCTAACCTGCTCCAAGTATAGGAAAAATACATAAATTGTAAAAGCAGACAGAGGACGTTACCAGCAACCCCAGTCTTTCATTCACAAATATACCCAAACAGGGATCACCAGACATCTAAAGATAACACAAAATAAATTGACGGAATTATTCAAAGAGGAGAATAAACTTAAAAATAAAATCCATTCGGCGTCCTAAGAAGAAGATCGTTAAGTAAGTAAAATAAGAGCAGGTGGCCATAACCTATAAGGAAGTCCCAGGAATATAGAGTAATAGCTGAAATAAAAAATTCAATGAAGGGCTAGAATAAAAACTCAAGGAAATCTCCCAGAACGAAGGGAAAAAACAAAGACATGGAAAAATGAAAGGAAAATTTTAAAACAGTGCATTGATATGGGAAATTAAAAAAACAAAAACAAAAACATAAAAGAATACAGAGAACTTAGAAGGGTTGAAATAATAAAAGAAATACAGATTTTCCAGAACTAAAGAAAGACATAAGTCTGCATTTTCAAATCATCCGCCAAATGCTTTACAGAATGAATTACCAAGGACTACAACTCATCCTCCTTAAATTTCATAATCATAAAGAGGCACCAACACAACAAGCTCCCAGAGAACAAAACAGGCTGCCTGCAAAAAAAATTCTTCACATTAGCGTCAAACCTCTTATCAATAAAACTGGTTACTAAGAAGTAATGGAATGCAATCTTCAAAATTCTGAAGGAAAATGATTTTAAGCCTGAATTCTATACCCAGCCAAGGTATGTACCAGCTGTGAAAGTGAAAAGGGCATGTGCAAAACACCGTGTTGACAGGCACCCATACGCACACTCTTTCTGAAAAGATTACTTCAGGAGGTACTCTAGAAAACTGCAAAATAAATCCAAAACAAAAAGAGAAAAGACATCTGACAGCATAGAACTTATCCAAGGATGCAATTAAATAGCATGATTTTAGCTGAGCATCATACCCACATAAAAAGGCAATTCATATTAGAACTTCAACAAATGCATACTTTGATTTCCAAGCTGGAAGACCAAGTGATATTACAAAGGCATACACTCTTCTACCAAAAAGGGGGAAATGTGGCAATTAGAAAATCCAGGAAAAACAGTTATAGCCCAACTAGAAGCCAAACCAAAGTATGTTATCTTGAGTGCCAATAGCATGTAAGAAATCCTTTTGTTCTCTATGGATCCCATCACAGTCATCATACTGCTTTGTTCTGTAGTTAGTATTATTTACATAGCATAATATTGATTACCGCTTTTCAAAATCAACAAGTATAACTATTAAACCTTGAAAGTATCAAATAAATGTTATAGCTGACACAGGTTGGAGAAGAAATGTAAGGGACTCAAGGGAAAGATTGTGAGGGGTACTAATTTTTCTTAACTCATAAAGTGGCAAGATTATGTCTAAATAATTTATAGAATCAATGATGCAAGAGCTAGAAGTTTAACCATAAATTCCAAAAAGAGAAAAAATGAAGACAATAAGTATTAAAAATGAAGCTGTTCATTTTTCACAGTGGAGATATACTAGATTATTTAAGATGAGTGAAAATAAAGTTTAGCATATTATATATAAAATTGGGGTAATCAGCGAAGAATTAGCAATACAAAAGGTCTAAAATGGTTACCTCTAAGGAGAGAAACTAGTTGGAAAAGGTAGAGGGTAGAAAGATTTTTACTTTTCATTTTATAGCCTTGTGTATTATCCAAATTCTTATGTTTATAAGACTATTACTTCCCAAAATTAATGCGCACATGTGCATATGCATGTGCTCGCATACACACACACACAATCACTAGAATTTTCTTTCCCTAACCAATGCAGGAAAAACACCGATAAATTCTTTTTATTTTTTCTGCTTTTTCTATATCTCATGTACTATATACCAACCTCCTATAATGGTATTTCAGAGGAGATACAATTAATTAAACAGACTCAACCACGCGAAACCCCTGATAAAATGTGGTGATAGCAACAGCTTACATTTAGTTAAAATTGCCAAAACACACCCACACCCATGATCTTATTTAAAAATACCTTCCTTCATTCAGCACTGAAATCTGAAAATGCTTTCCAAATTTCCAATATGAGAATAGCATAAAAGAAAATTAAACTGAACACAACAGTCCACCACTTTGACAACAGTGGGCAGTTTTGATAAAGTTAAGCATACACTTACCATATGACCCAGCAATCTCATGCCTAGGTTATTGCCCAAGAAAAACGAAGACACATTACACAGACATATGCATGCAAATGTTCACAGCAGCCTTATTAGTAATAGACAGAAACTAGAAAGAATCCAAATGTGCAGCAACTGGTAAACAAATAAACTGTCACATGTCCAGAATTTCCTCGGAATATTACTCAACAATGAAAAGGAACAAACTAATGATATACATAACATAGATGAATCTTAAAAAGTATCATGCAATCGGAAATTTAGTCAGACTCAAAGGACTACATATTGTATGATTCTACTTATATGAAATTCTAGAAAAGCAAAATTATAATAACGGCAGATTAGTGGTTACCAGGGGGATGCAGGAACGTTTTCGGGTGATTGGAATGTTCTATGTCAGGATTATAGTGTTTGCTCCACTGTTGTACAAATTTAGCAAAATTTAGCAAAGTGTACACTTAAAACTGTAACTAACTCAGTAAGGCTGACTTCTAAAGGCGGAATAATACATAATCACATTTAACTGCTGGCAACAGCTTTTCAGCATAGGTATGAACCACAGACCTTAAAAGAATATTAAAATCACTATTTAAGAGGCAACTTTTAACCAGAAAATAGATATATAGTAACTTGAAAGTCCTGAGAATGAAACAGCCCTCATCCTACTCAACTTGGCCACGTGGATAAACAGTAGTTGCCTGGCAACTAGTCCAAACTCTAGATTTCTAATAAACACATTGATCACCTTAGCAGGTGATCTTGTAGAAGATAAAATACATTTTACATTGAAGAGTTAGTTCTTCCCTTTAATATTACACAAGTATAATACTGCATTGAATTATTTAGCTGAAGTGGGAGTAAACAAGAAGTGCTAAAAGTAGATCATGAAAAATAAAAACATAAAATTAAACATAAACACAAACCCTTTCCTCATTTGGTCTTTTACTTCAGGACTTTACTTACCTACTCATGAGACTGTTGAATCCATGAGTTTGTGGGTGAACCCTCCTCCCCCTTTCCTATTTTAAGCCCTTCCCCTACCTCCACCCAAACTGGCTTAATATAATTGAGTAATTTTACTTATGTTTACATGTCTTGAAATGCATACAAGTGAGACACTTTTTCAGATACGAAATCATTCTAAAGATTTCTCTCTGGATTGCAGAGTCTGTAGACAACACAGAAAAACACAACACGAATTTTCTGTAACATGCATGCACACGACACACCAGAAAGCCAAACTTGATTATAAGTGATCAAAATCAAGAATTACAAAGAATTCCTGAATAACAAGCATATTCCTAACGCATGTTAAATATCATCTCTCTCTTACTGGACATAGTATGTCAGTTTACTTTGTTAACAGCATCAGAGAAAGTGCCAACTTCCAGGACACCGCCAAGGGTTAGCACACTTACCAACCTGATGATTTTGGTTTTGTGGAACACTTACCCCTCTTCTGAACCCAACCTTCTTTCACAATGGTAACATCGCTCATGATGGCTCCCCTCCAGCCCCCAGCTTGGAGAAATGGGACTCTGTGATATCAGCTTTGGGGTTTGGATTCTCTGCCGCTGGTGCCCTTCCCACTCTCTAGTGATGACTCAGCCTGGAAGGAAGTATTGAAGAAAGAATTTCTTTTTTTTTTCCATTCTTGCAACTCACACAGCAATAACAAACAACTAATTCTTTGTAAATGTCTTCAACTGGCCTGACCTCGCTTAAAAGGCTAGCTCTTCAAACTGGGGGACTTATTTATGAAATAGTTGTATCATGAATGCACATCCCTGGTCTTGTGACAGATTTCAAACAATAGTGAAACTTTTTAACCTAAGAGGTTGCAATAAAAAATGTCTTAAGAAAACCACTGTCATACCTACACAAATAGTACAGAAAATCTGTTTGGTGATGTGTGTTTGAGGTGAAAGGGAAGAGAGTGAAAGTTGAGTGGACTATAAGTAAATCTTCATCTATGTCTAGTTTCAAAATCTCTGTAAATTTAAAAATAGTTATGGGAAAGCGATTGCGAATGTTTTTAATTGGTGTATTTTATGTAAAATCCCATGTGCTAAGAAACCAACCTTTAGGTATGATCCCTCTGCCTTTTTCCAGGAAATATTTTAGGTTGATTACAATAAGTAAAACATTATAAGCAATATAAAATCAATTATTTTTTTAAAGTAGACAAAGTGAAATGGAATATGAAAATGTAAAAAAGTGTGGAATATTCAAAATGTGTCAAGAACTCATACAGGCACTTAAATCTATTATTCTCAGGTAATCTTCACAACCACCTTACTATTAACTCCATTTCACAGATGGGGAAACTGAGGTTCAGAGAGATTATGCAACTTGACCGATTTGAACACAAAACGATGGAGCCAAGATCGGAGCCCGGGCTGACCCCACGGCCTGCATTCTTTGCTCCAAAACTGTTACCTTAAATCAGCAATTTTCAACCTGGTGTGCCGCGGCACAAATCTATATAATTTTATTAATCAATGTCACTCCAATAAATAAAATATGTAAATAAAATATGCAATACCTGACTATTTAGTCGGGGCACTGACCTCTTTCCCCTTAGACTATCAAATAAAAAAATCACAATAGCCATCCAGTGTGACTGAATCAAAATTATACCTACTTTTGTTGTCAGATCAGCCAAAANTTAAATATGCAATACCTGACTATTTAGTCAGGGGCACTGACCTCTTTCCCCTTAGACTATCAAATAAAAAAATGACAATAGCCAACACAATAGCCATCCGGTGTGACTGAATCAAAATTATACCTACTTTTGTTGTCAGATCAGCCAAAAATATATTTTTGGGTGTGCCACAGAATTTTAGTAATTAGTTTATATGTGCCACGAGATGAAAAAGGTTGAAAATCGCTGCCTTAAAGAAAGATAAAAAGAAGCCAAAGTAAAAGTCTATGTATTTGTGAAAGATGGGCCACAAATTTAGCACAAGCTTTCAGGAAGCAATGTAAATAAGGAAACACTATAGGTTTCAATATTTACAGTACCCATAAGTAGTTTTAGAAAGAAAAAAAAAAAGAAGTTGCTCAGAAGGAATATAATTCTTCCTGTGACAAAAATCTGCAATTTTTCCCATGGGTCTTTACAAGACACCTTCTAGTGCAAAAAACAAAGTCCTCAAAAATATCCTCCCACGTAAGTAGCAATGGGTTTTACAAGGCAATTTCTTATTGTCGCTCTCAACCTAAAAAGGGAACTACCAAGATAAAATTAAGTGAAAGCATTACCACAGAAAGGGACCAAAACGTGGGCCAGGAACACAGGTGTAAATTTCAGATAACCAAAAAAAATTGATACATGGACTAGATAATATACTGTTTTCTCAAACTGGGTTCTGATAAATAGGGCCTAGCAGTAAGTAAAGGTTAGACTCCTTGGCTAGTACTAAACTGAATTACAGTTCTTTTCCCCAATGCAAATTAAGCTCACAGCCTAATCACTGAGCAGTCAGGAATCGAGACTAACTACCTGAGGCTCAATAGAAAATGACCCCCGTTGTGCACCCTGGGGCTGCAGGCAGAGCCTACAGGGAGGGCCAGGCCTGTCCTCAACACCACCAGGCTCTCCTACTGTGCAGAGCCGAAAGAGATATTAGAACCTGGGTGTATTTTCCCCAAAAACGTTTGACAGAATATTAAAAGAAATTCTGGGGAAATTCTACAAACCATGTCTTCCTCTTGAAACATTAGTTAACATATTAAATATCTCAGCATATCCTAAACTTATTTGGACACACAGGGCTCCCCCTCCCCCCCCCCTTTTTTTTTTAGTAACATGTATTGATATCCAGAGGAACACACTTTGGGAAATGCCACAGGATGCGGCCACAGAGTTCAAGACAAGACCCATTTCACTATTAAAGACAGGCAACAAACCAACCACAAAACCCTTCAGTAAAGAATCCAAAGATCATTTTAATTTCATTTATGAAACTCCCTAAAGACCTCAACATGGTGAACTGGCTACATAATCCATATGGAGCTAGACAATGAAAGGGTTAGCTCTACATAAATAATTATAAGGAAGTTAAACACTGGGCACACTAGCACAAAATTATGGCTAAAGAGGAGCTGCCCTGCAGACCTTCTCTTTGGTAGTACTGAAGCAAGGGGCCTCATATCCATTAAAGCAATTCTCGGTTCCTCGCTATAAAATTATATAACCTGGGTAAAAGAAAATTCACATCTTAATTATTCTGGGATTAGAAATGGAAGAGATCGGGGATCAACACTTAGTAATGACCAAAAACTAATACATACCCAATGAACATTTAAAATGTGTACTTTCCTATTTAAATAATTTATATTACCCTACTAAAAAACACTAGAGAAACAAAAGTATTGTCAAAATTAATTTTATTGTTTTAAGTGGACATTTCATTTTAAGAATCTTAAAGCTGAAAGAGACCTTCAGTTTACAGCTGAAAGATTCAAGACAGATGAAGTGACTTGCCCAAGGTCACACGGCTACTTTATGAGAGACCCAAGACAGAGAGCCAGGCGCAGGCTCTTCCCCCAGCACCGCCTCTTCAGTATAAGACAAGATACTGCAATAAGCAGATCAGCCCAAAGTCAATGAATTTTATTTTATAAAAAGGCTTTCAAAAACTAGTATTTTAGATAAAAAGTGTTCACTGGTGCTTATATATCTATATTAAACTGTCAAAATGTACGTTAAATCAACAAGACAAATTTATCATCTTCATGATGGCCAGTGAACCCCACACATTTTAGAGATGGCTTTATGCATTCGCATCTTAAACTGCTAACAGATTCTACCCATAATCATAGTTTTCAGCTTTAAAAATTGCGCCTGAGTCTCTACTGACCAAAATGACACATTCTTTAAACATAACTTAAAAGACATTCAAAGGTATATACTACTCCAGAATTATGATCAATACATTTGGAACAAATGCTCTTTTGTGTTTAAAAACAATGCTATGAGCTCATAAGCAGTAAACTATACTCTTTGGTTTAATTTTCCTGCCGTGGCAACGTTCCTGACCCTGTCACCTGCACTCTTCGGCTCAGTCTCCCACGTTACTAACACTGATCTGCAAGTTGATGAGTTTGCTAGATTTTGAGGATGTAACCTGTTTCCGAAGGTACAGTGAACTTCACCTCCCCCTAACAGTCCTAACTTCTCTAGAAGTTCATCCGATCCAATGAGCTTTAGCAGACAAAATTGGGTTTATTTTTCTTTTAAACCTACTTCATTAAACATTTCATTGCTGAGTAATCTAATTTTTCCCATTCTTAGAAAAAATTTCACACAAAATCCTTGGCAGATTCAATTTAGAATTTACACAAAGCGGTTACAATAAAGGCACTTTTGTTCAGACTATCTGAGAATTTGATGATGATAATTGTACTGAAATTGTCATTTCATAATTTAAAAAACATTTTCACATCTTTTACCTCATTCAGTAGCATTATTAGTAGTAAAACAAGTTGACAGTGCCTGACACGTAATAGATGCTCAACAAATATGGAATAAATCAGTGCATAAAACAAGGAACGAAGATTCAGCCTTAATAAAGAACAGACTACACAAACTAATATTCTAGGTCAACTAAGAGAATGGTATTAAGCCTCCTTAAAACCAAACCTGAACCTGGACTTTATGGAAGCACCTACATAGAATTAAAATTATAATACGTGTTCATTCCTATTCATTGAAGTACATTTCCTACAGACCCCCATTAATTGTAAGGACTATCACAGATTAAAATTACCCTTTCATTCTCAGCATTTTTGACATTTTTTGGTTGAGATGCGATGCTCGAGTTTCAATTCCCAAACAAATCAAGCATCAACACTACCCAAAATTATCCATAATGGGAAGAAAAAGAGAGAAAGGATGGCATATTCCATTAATGATACTTACAAGGCTATATTTAAGATACTGGTTTACTTATGATGACCACCCAATTTTAAGCAAAAATTAAACTTCGTCAAACATCTTGTAAAAATAGCATTCACTCAAGAAAACATGTAATTAATATACATATGTTTATTCAGTTAATAAATATGTATTGTCTACTCCGAGACAAGGCCTGTATTAAGTATACGGGGAGGCAAGCAAAATAAAGCATTTCAAAAACTTTTCCAAGCCTTGAATAATTTGCTATCAACGTGCTTTCACATATATTACCTCATTTGCCTCTAAGACCAAGTCTATGTGGTAGCTACTGACTGCATCTACAATTCTGAACCGAGGCAAACTGTGACCAACCAATAATGACATCATTTTCTTTCTCACAGCTACCGGTACAAGTTAGTGGCAGGAAACAAGAGTGACCACATGCAACTCAAGGCTCCTATCAGGTGGGTGTGCTTTCTCCCCAGCAGCATGAGAGGAACTCTCAAAAATACCTACAACACTGGAGAATAGTTCTCAACATTTTTTTTCTGTATCAAACTATCCTTCATAAGTCCAATAAAGCCCAATGTTCTCAAATAAATTAGAAAGTAAATGCATGGGTTGGCAAAAGTAGATTTACAGTTGTTTGTATGGAAAAGACAATAATTAATAAATAACAATACAAAGATAAACTTTTGCATGCTCACAGCTGTAAACCTACTTTCGCCAACCCGTTTAACTGTGGCATCACAAATAAAATTTTAACAGAAGACTAAAAGTAGGGTGACAAAGTTAAAAGGCACCTCAGCAATTCTTTCTTATAAATAAGAGCAAAATTCATAAATTAATAATTTCCTATGTTACTTTCTAAGTTAAAAACCATGGGACAATTCTACAACACAACTTTTTCTAAACTATAAACTTGGCTCTGATTAATATTATGTAGAGTATACTTGCTCTGTGCCACAATGTTTTATATACTTTAGATATGCTGGTCACACTGAATTAATGAGGACAATTCATGTTCAAACACAACAGAAGGTTGCTACTTTGAAATACACCTGATGGTCAAGGGTAACCATAATATAATTTTACAGTATTCACCTAGGTACAAGGAACAGGTGGAACTAATATATGCCATAAGTGCAAAAGGCCGTATAAAACTTTTCAAAGGATTTGAGGGAAAGGAAAAATACTGAAGTGGAAGGGAAATTCAAGGCAACTTGCTCTACACTTCAAATAACTCTACAAGCCAGCCTGCCCCTTTCAAGAATTATAATCCTGTTAAAAACATAACATACAGGGAAGTGAGCCACACAAATTATATCTTTCGAATACCTTTCCTCTCTTTAGAGTACAGTAATACACTTTGTGGATTTTCTTAAGAGTCTTTAGCTGTAAATATCTTCGCTGAGTTTTACACTATGGGCAAATACTTGAATAAGCTTGGGCAAGTTTCTGACTTTCACACAAAACGCCACTTCTTCAATGCTGCCAATTCTTAACAACCCACTTTACAAACTTTGAAACATACACACAAAAACATAAGGCACTTCCTCCCTCTTCCCTACACCTGCTTAGGGCATTTAAGTGCCACTTCAACCAACACAGTTCATCATTAGTCAAATAGAAAAGCACCCTGTGGCCCAGCTGGGTGGCTCAGTTGGCTGGAGCACCGTCCCATACACCAAAAAGGTTGCGGGTTCGATTCCCGACCAGGGCACATACCTAGGTTTCGGGTTTGATCCCCAGTTGGAGCACAGGTGGGAGGCAACCGATCGATGTTTCTCTCTCACACTGATGTTTCTCCCTCTCTCTCTCTCTCTCTCTCTCAATTCAGTAAACATACCCTCAGGTGAGAATAAATAAAAAGCAACCTGTGCTGAATGAATACTTACTATTCTAATGTGCAACGAGGAACATGCCTACTGGATCCCTCTGACTCCTCCAACACGGGGCAAGCTACTGACCAATTTCCCCCTATATTTCTCTTGCAAACTGTGGCTTGTCCCTATGTGCAGGCACCTAGAAAAACAGGGGCAGGTAGAGGGTTGCTGCTAAAAGTATTCTGGTTGCACAGTTGGCCACAGATTTCCAACACACATGTAAAATCCTTCTAAACTCTGCCCTGGGGACCTCCCTGATCATAAAATGGAAAAAGAAAATTCACACGTACACACAACAGCAAATTGGTACATGGTCTATTAAATGTCAAGGATCAGACTGGCAGATTTCCCCACCAATTTAAATGAGTCAGCATGTAGGTATGGTACAGTAGGGAGAGCACTGGACAGGCCAAAACACTTGGGTCCCCACATTCCCAACTCTGTCCCACCCCGAGGGGTGCTAAGGTCCCCGAATTCTCTTTGCCTCTATTTCCTTAGCCGTAAAAATAGAGAGAGAGCATTAGCCTAATTCCAAATAGCTCTACAGCTCTTCCAGAGCTAATATTTATGATTTCTCAAGTTCAAATCTACTCTCTTGCTCCATTTATAAACGACATCTGAGCTAACAATATTGTGATCGCACATGGTTCCTGTCCACAAAAGTCTAAGATACTTGGGAAGATAAAACATTCAAACACCAGCTCCACTAAGACAAAACTTGAACTCAACTCCAATACTGAAAAAAACCATCTTCCTCCCCCTCCCATCTTCAGCCCCATGAATATAGTCAAAAGATATCTTAATTCAGGGGACAGAAATTCTTATCTGGAAGTTTTCTAGTGATCTCTTCTAGTAAATCTTTTGACTTTCCCCCTGAATATTAGGAAAATATACCTATTTAGATGTGTAAAATATCTGCAGTTGGCAAGAAATATGAAGAGTACTGAAAACAAAAAAAAACTGACAAGCAAATCCACAGGTCATAAGCACATATTAATTTCTCCATCAACTACTATTTGAAGGAAATATATTTACATCTAATACACTGAAAGACTGATGCTACAAGGAAATATGTAATCATTTGAGGCATTTAATTCAGCGTCTGAAATAACTGAAATGAAAAAGGGTGTTATGGGTCAGTCAATATATTTTACTTTTGTTTTTACTACATCAGCTTGATTTCTGGGAAAACTATTTATACTAAGTTATCGAAATTCAGCACTGTTGCTGTGAACTCTAAAAGGTAGAAAGAACTAAGTAAAAACACTAGAAGAGTTTCAGAATGAGGAAAGTTAAAATGAAATGGATTTTTGTAATGCCAGAATAAGTGTTTTCTCATGTGAAAATCACTTTCGAAAATGTAGCAGGGGCTGTCATGAAGATTAAATGAATGTATACATACATGTTGGTGACATGTAGCAGTGCCTGGCACATGGCAAGTGCTCAGCAGGCACTGGCTAGCATTAACTCTGCACTGAATCTAGCTCTATCACACGTGAAAGACCATGATAAAATAACTAAGTTAACATCAAGTGATTCAGGGCTATCTTTGTAGACTACAGAACAGCACATGCTGTAGGAAGCAGAATTTCAATACTGCTGCCAACTCTGACACCTGGACAGAACAATTCTAAATAATTTTAAATAACAACTTTAAATAATTTAAATATTCTAACACAAATCTATAAAAATTAACCATGTGCATTAATTTTTCTATTAATTTAAGAAAGTTAAAAATGCAAGTCAAATTACAAGATTTAGTCCCATAGACTTAGCCTTTCCATGATTTAGTGAATTACTTTTCAACTTAAAGTTGATATTGACTTAGTTTAAGTTGTATGTCAGAGTACTTTAGGGTTCTGCTTTGGACTTTTTTTTTTTTTTGTCCAAACAAAATGAAATGGCTTCTTTTTCTGTCTCTCATGTTGTTATTCAAATTTAAATGGTTTCAAATGAAATATTTTCTAATACTTGACACTTAATCTCACTCTAAAGACAAGATCCTATCAAATCACACTAAAAATCCAATTAACACCTTGTTAACAATGATTGCTTTATCTTCCCAAGGGTGAACTCTTGAACCAAAAGGTATAACAACAGAAAGAGTGTAGCTACGCTTTGGCAGATATGCAAAGTTTAAGTAAACTCTAAACTTCCACAAAATCAATTTGTAAAATAGGTTCCTCTTTTTAAAGAAACCCAAAGAGTTGGAAATTTCCATTGAATTTCTGTAAGAAAACCTCTCACATGTTTAAATCAAAAGCTAGAGTTGAAAATCTTAGATCCCTACTTTGCATGACTCTATGCAAAGTCCCAAGATAACCAAAATATGTTTGGATTTGCAGTGACCTGGAAACAAATTCTCTTTCTAACAGTAGTGATCTCCTGAATAAAATATAAATGAGAAAAGTTTTTAATCTAACCAGCTGCTATCATGTTTGTTGAATGAAATCTTATTTAAAATATTTTAGTCATAAACTTACATGAACGTTGTAAAAGTCCAAAGCAGAACCCTAAAGTACTCTGACATACACAACTTAAACTAAGTCAATATCAACTTTAATTTGAAAACTAAGTCACTAAATCATGAAAAGACTCAGTGTATGGGACAAAATGACAACAATTAATAGTTTCATAAGTTATTTTGCAGAATTTAGATTTTTTTTTACACACTGTAAGCAAACATGCTACCGCAAATACACAGTAAAATACACAGCTGAAATGAAAACCTACATTCATCTCAGTTCCGATGTTGTCTCATTCATGTGATATATGCATTTCCCTCACTTTACAAAGAAGCTCAAGCCAATCAAAGATACCGGGGTCAACCCTAGTGAGAAAAACCAAAAGCAGATCTTCAATACAATCTCCTTGGTAAACTTTCAGAGTCAAGATTACATATTGTCAAAAGAAAGAAACCCTACAGTCCTGATTATGTACAGGGTGGGGCAAAAGTAGATTTCCAGTTGTAATGCATGAAACAGCTAATTCCTGTGCTGTATTAGTATGTATTACTGTTATTTTCTATATGAGTAACTATATATGCAAATAATTGTGCATTTAATCATATACCTTAGAAAACTAGGAATTTATGAATAAGTCTTTTAATAAGTATTTTCATGTTTTAGACAACCACGTCCTAAATATATGTATGTGTGAGAGTGTGTGTTCTGTGTGTGTGTATTAGACAACCACCTCCTGGAACATTCATATGCCTTTAGACATATTTTGCAATGACACTCAAGTTCTGCAGACAGAGTTTCCTAAACCATCTTTATTGGACTCTTCCACCTTTGGCGTTTTTCACCTATTTCCTAACAATGTATAATCTACTTTAATGAGTTTCCACCAAAAAATAAAACACAACCCAGTGGTTGTCTAATGATTTACACAGTGTACTGAAAGGTGTATGACCAGGCTTTTCCAAAATATGGAGCGCACACATCTAGACTGATGACCTGAGGCAGGGGGCAATGTCCTAACTGCAAAATGTCATACCCTCTGGCTTCAGGGTGACCGTGGGAAGCGTGACCACTGTATGAACACCAGCCATGAACCAGCAGCTACCCAGGGCCCACCGCTCAGTTTCTCTTTGGAGACGTTCTGAATGACAAACTCCTGGGCTTCCAGCTCATCGCCACGCGGGGGGAACGAGCTGCTGTGATTTTTCACAGCCTTATTTTGATGGGAGACACGTGAGCATCCTACCCTTGACCTATGGCTAAGCGCTGCCTCCGCTTTCAGATCAGCAGTGAACGTGGGTCTTGGAAACCCGGCCCTAGACAGAGCCCATCTGGCCTACGGGTAGATTCCTGGGAAATCCCAAACAAGGGGTGACCCCGCCTGGGAGTCGGGGCGAGCACAGCCACGGGCTAGGCTCCCCCCGGGGCCCCCGAAGGGCCGGGCGGGCATCATGGCCGATGCGCCGCTGCGCAGGGGCCGGGGAAGGGCCGGTTTGTTTACTTGCAGCCGGGCCGCCGCCCGCAGCGACGGCAGCACCGGGGCCGCCAGCCCGGCATCTTCCGCGCGTTTCTATTCTTAGCACGCGGCTCCCCGGCGGATCAAAACCCACTACGATTAGAAACGCAGCCGGGCGCGGTA